CCTTGTGTCCACGTGCCCTAAATGTTGGACATGTTCCACAGCCTCTTCATACCCCTCCACCACCTCCACGGTGGACTTCCAGTCCTCCGTTACTCGGTGTGCCATCCTAGTGTTGGCCGACGGGTGACGCGGGGACAGGGAGCAGCAAGTGGTGGCAGAGTTGTCCTGGGTACACTGGTCAACCTGTCAGGGAGGAACATTGTGGAAATAATTGTGATTGAGGGAGACTATGTACACATACGGACAGATTGAATGTTTAACACGCAATATGTTACACCTTAATGTGCAACATTAACGAGAATTCTTAAGTTGAGTGCGTGATGAAAAAGTGATAAAATCATGGTAATGATGTTGGCCACTCACTCAATGTGCTTTGAGGAGAGGGTCGAGGGCCATGGGAATAAGAGTGAACAACAGCTTACTCTCACAACGGGCAAGGGAACCCAAGGGACTCGTTTGCAGTTCCTCATTACATCTATGTCTCAACTAAGGCAGGTTGCGGTTAGTTACGTATTCACATGCGCGCACCCGGCTTCCTGATAAGTTTGTATGGGGTTTTGGCGCGCGCTTTTTTTCAGCCCGCCCATTTTTTCACCTACTGGTTGGTGGACTGTGGGGTTAATTCCACCCAATAGGTGCTCGAGCCTCTTCAATTCCGCGGTGACCCCCTTTCAGCCTGCCCGGATTTTGTGTTTTGGTTTTATCGTAGTTTCCCTGCATTCACTTGTGCTCTGCAATCTGCTCTGTCCTCTGCATCCCCCCGGGGGCTACGCCTTCCGCCTTCTTTGTCTTTACTTGGACTTTCCTTGGCTCAACAGACCGGGCCGTCCTTATGGTGGGACGTGCACCCTTCCATATCCTTCGATTCAAACCTCCCTACCGCTAGCTTCTAGTGAGCCCTCTGCGTGGGTTTCTCCCATTTTTGGTCTGTCATCATCCCATCGAGACAATGACGTCAGCTTGGGTTGCCGAACTCTTTCCTTCCGTGTGTAGCTCTTATTTACCGTTTGGGGATTCCGTCCTCCGCTACCGCGTCTTACTTTGCCCATATCGCGTTTTGGGCGTTCCACGCAACTCCCTCTTCACAAAACCCACCTTTGCCTGTACGGCTATCTTCTCCGTGTTACCGAAACGCAATCCGTCCCTCTGGCTCTTATCTAGCACCTTCGCCCAACCCGCGTGCCCTGTTAGAATTTTCCGTCCTCCCTGTGTTTTTGTCTTTTTTCTCGACCTGTACCTTATCTCCCCGGTTCGACATTAGACCTCTTTTCGCTCTGTAACTCCGCAGCCTTCCTCCGACTCATTCCTCGCCCAGTTATCGCTTCTCTATACCGCAATGGGTGCCAGTGGTTCCGCTGCCTGGGATTGCAGCTTAGTCGAAACCATATTCTCTCACTTATTCCTCACCAGCTCTTTTTCCCTTGGTGTGACCCAATGCTCAATTATCCTATCTCCTTTTTGGCCAAAACCCTTTTACTGGCTTTTGCACTTCTATCTCTATCCGTGAGTTCTGTGTCCGAGCTTGTCGTCAAGGCTCTCCGGCTGTGGCCACTCGTTTCTTCTCTCCCGAACGCTTCCGACCACACCCTTTGTGGGGATCTACAGGTTTACTCTGACCTCCCCTTTAGCCTCGTTATAGGGTCCTTCGTCCAAGCACCAGGAGTGTATAGCTGAATGCCCACTATTGATCTCGAGTCGTTTCGTTCATCTCTCCGACAACTTGGTGGCCCCCTTACCTCCCTCTACACGTATCGGGCGAACTCTTTAGCAACGCCCTGAGGGTTCCTATCGGGCTGTCTTCGAATACAAATTTGTCACCTCTTATTGTTCTTTCGCCTACCGAATACACCACCCCGGTGCCGTCGGGTTACTTCGGTGGGATTTGCGCTCCCGTGGATGTGAAGGCGCCGAGTTTGTTGAGTTGGCGGGAAAGCTTATTTGCCGACGTTTAATCGGTCGTCGCCCCCTCGTCTTTGCCGGCTTATATGCCCTGCGCCCCTTCATTAATGTTCCGCCTCGATTAGGTGACAGTCTTCCACCACTTACCCGATGATCCTTCTCACCAGTCTCTATACCTTATCTCACACTACACTTTTGCTTAGCAGCACCTTCCTTTTCTATACTATTAAATCCACAAAATCCCATCTGATTTCCACAGCATGTTCCAACTTTCTCAAGCTGATTCTTCACGTTCCTTCACTTTCCTCTTCCCTGTTCGGACCCTCGTCTGTGGTAGGCGTTTTACCTTCGTTCATCTCCAAGCTAAACAGCACCTGCTTACATTGGTCTCTGTGACTTGATTATCTGGTCGCCTCTCCCTAGTGCCTTTTGCTCCAGGTGTCCCCTTATCATGCTTCTCTCAGTCCTCACCCATTTTTCCCATATTTTTCCGCGATCTTGGGGCCGTTCAACCCCTCCCTATTCCGTTTATGTTCGCAGTGCTTTACTTCGCCCTTCTCATTTCTCCAAGGTCTCTTACTTACTTATCTGCGTGTGGCCCCCTTTTCCGATGGTTTATGCCTCCTAGCGCTCCCACCCCTGGCTCTGTTTGTTTCTCTAGTACTAACGCTAGCTAGCCGTGTGCTAGCACTTCATCTCTCACCCATCCCTACCCGTCTGTCACCGTGCCGAGGTGGTCCGATGTTGCCGCGCTCCCCTCCTACTGCGTCTACCCGCTTTACCTCCACTACTACTCCAATCAGCCTTACCACGCCAATGCGTAGTGGGACGGGCATTCTCTCTCTTCTATGCGCCTTTTCCCAACTTCCCCTTTTATGGTTGCGCCCTCTCCCTTTTCGTTCTGGATGGGCGCTTAGTTGGCGCCGGTTAGTCGCATCCTAGAATCCCTTATCTTATCTTCTTTGTGCTAATACCGTTAGCGCCGCTTCGTTTAGCTTTTGTAAGACTCACTGCTCTTCCTTACGCATTGCGGCTTGCCTCGGTGCCCGGGCCCCTTGTTCTACCCTCTGCACACGAACCGGGGGCGACCTTTTGAGATGGGGGATTTCGCCCATGCCCAAGATGCCGCCGCAGCAGACCGAAATCCCGGCACGACCGACGTGGCCTAGGGTTTCCAGGCGGTCGCGATAGGTGCGGGTGGAGACGATTTCGGGGTAGTAGTCTTCCCCGGTGTCCAGGTTGTGGTTGTACGCGTGAAGACCGGCTTCCCGCAGCCGCTGGGCTTGGTCGGCGTTGAGCATGCCCAACGTGCAGCAGACTTCCATACCAGTGGCAGCGACCGTGCGCACCATGTCCAATACGCGGTCGAACTCCACGCCATCGCGGACTTGACGCCAGGCCGCGCCCATGCAGAAGCGCGTGCTACCAGCGGCCGCGGCGCGCTCAGCGGCTTCGCGCACGGCGTCTAGCGACAGCAGGTCTTGGCGTTCGAGGCCCGTATCGAAGTGGGCCGACTGCGAGCAATAGCTGCAATTTTCAGGACAGCCACCGGTCTTGATCGAAAGCAGAGTGCAGACCTGTACTTGCCGCGGGTCGTGGTGTACTCGATGGACGGTCGCGGCGCGGTACACGAGGTCGAGTATGGGATTTTGGTAGAGGGCGACAATTTCCTCGCGCGTTGCGGGCGCATTCAGGTTCATAAATCCTCGATCGGTTTGGTGGATGAGCGTCTAAAAATCCGGGGTTTCACCCGGCTTGGCAAGTTCAGCGAGAGGGCCGGCCCACGGCTGCCGCGCAAATGGCTTGCTCCATCGCGTTTCTTGGCTTTTATTTTTAGGCTGTTTGCGGGAGGGGAAGGTGAGCAGGCTGGACAGCGCGCCCGCGCTTTGATGTCTGGCCGATTGCGAGATGCTAAAACCTTGGCTACTCTTCGGCGGCGAAGTGGGGCTGGCTGGCTTAGATTGGCCAGTTTTAGTGGCGTTTACTTTTGAAAGGGGATCGCGCAGCGCGCATAATGGCCAGTAGTAAAATTGTAATAAAAAAAGGGTTGGACCTGCCCATTGCTGGTGCGCCGGAGCAAGTGATCGAAGACGGTCCGGCGATTGGAAAGGTAGCCGTCTTGGGGCCGGACTCGATTGATTTGCGGCCGACGATGGCCGTAAGCGAGGGCGATTCGGTCAAAAAGGGCCAGTTGCTCTTCGAGGACAAGAGGACCCCGGGCGTGCGCTATACGTCGCCGACGAGCGGCAAAGTGACCGGCGTCCACCGCGGTGCCAAACGCACCTTGCTCTCGGTCGTCATCGAGGTCGCCGGAGACGAGGAAGAGCGCTTTGCGCAGCACACGCGAACGGCACCTGACCAGTTAAGCCGTCAACAGGTGAGCGAAACCTTGGTGGCGTCCGGCCTCTGGCCCGCGCTGCGCACGCGGCCCTACAGCAGAGTGCCCGTGCCCGATAGCGCGCCGCACTCGATTTTCGTCACCGCGATGGACACCAATCCCCTCGCGGCCGATCCCCAAGTCGTGCTTCCGCGGGCACGAAGACGACTTTGCTATGGGCCTGACCATACTGGGTAAGCTCACCGACGGGCCGGTCTATGTGTGCAAGGCTCCCGGTGCCAGCATTTCGGCCGATGGTGCCCAGTCGTCGAATTTGCCGGTCCGCATCCCGCGGGGTTGCCCGGCACCCACATCCACTTTCTCGATCCGGTCGGGGCGGCCAAGACCGTCTGGTACATTGGCTACCAAGACGTGGTGGCTTGCGGTAAGCTCTTTGCCACCGGCTCGTTGTGGACCGAGCGCGTCGTGGCCTTGGGCGGCCCCCAAGTGGAGCAGCCGCGCCTGTTGCGCACCCGCCAAGGAGCCTGCCTAAGCGAGCTGACGGCGGGCCAGCTCAAGCCGGGTGAGAATCGGGTCATTGCCGGATCGGTGCTGGCGGGTCGGGTCGCGTCTGACCCCTTGGACTTTCTCGGTCGCTACCACGCGCAAGTCTCGGTGCTGGTCGAGGGCCGCGAGCGCGAGTTTCTGGGGTGGCAGAAACCGGGCGTCGATAAGTTTTCTATCAAGAATGTCTTTGCCTCCAAGCTGCTGCCCAGCCAGCTTTTCGACTTTACCACCTCGACCGAGGGCAGCGACCGAGCCATGGTGCCGATCGGCTCGTACGAGCAGGTGATGCCGCTGGACATCCTCGCGACCCTACTCCTCCGCGCCCTCCTCGTCGAGGATACGGACCGCGCCCAAGCGCTCGGCTGTCTGGAACTGGACGAGGAGGACTTGGGGCTGTGTACTTTCGCGTGCCCCGGCAAGTACGAATACGGACCCATCCTGCGGCAAAGTTTGGCGAGAATTGAAAGAGAAGGATAGGCGCATTCAATGAAGGTTTTGCGAGATCTGCTCGACCAAGCCGAGCCCCTTTTCCACAAGGGGGGGCGGCTGGAAAAGCTCTACGCCCTGTACGAGGCAGCCGATACATTCTTATATACGCCCGGTCGCGTCACCGACGGACCGACGCACGTGCGCGACGGCATAGACCTCAAGCGCACGATGGTTACGGTCGTCGCCGCGCTAGTGCCCTGTATCTTCATGGCCATGTGGAACACCGGCTATCAGATCAATCTGGCCATGCAGCAAATGGAGGCCGCCACGACGGGCGAATGGCGCGGGATAATCATCGACATCCTCGGCATCGGCTACAACCCCCATAACCCGCTGGCCAATATATTCCACGGCTTCCTCTATTTTTTTCCAGTCTTTTTGGTGTGCAATATGGTGGGCGGTCTGTGGGAGGGGCTTTTCGCGCTGGTTCGCAAGCACGAGATCAACGAAGGCTTCTTGGTGACGGGCATGCTTTTTCCCCTGACCCTGCCGCCGACGATCCCCCTGTGGCAGGTGGCCATCGGCATCAGTTTCGGCGTGGTGCTGGGCAAAGAGGTCTTTGGCGGCACCGGCAAAAATTTCCTCAATCCAGCGCTGACCGGGCGGGCCTTTCTCTATTTTGCCTATCCGCGCCGAGATCACCGGCGACGCGGTCTGGGTCGCGGCCGACGGCTTTACGCACGCTACCCCGCTTGGGGGCTGCTGCCGCCGACGGCATGGCAGCCTTTACCAGCTCGGTGACTTGGATGCAGGCCTTCTTGGGCGCAATCCCCGGGTCCATGGGAGAAACATCGACCCTAGCTTGCTTGATCGGCGCAGCCATCCTCATAGCGACTAGGGTCGGCTCTTGGCAAATCATCGTCAGCATGACGGCGGCCACGGTCGTCTGCGCCGAATTGCTGCACGCGATTGGCAGCGATACTAACCCGATGTTCGAGATGGACGCGAGTTGGCATTTGGTGCTGGGCGGATATGCCTTTGGCTGCGTCTATATGGCGACGGACCCGGTGTCGGCGTCGATGACCCCGACCGGGCGGTGGGCGTATGGGGCGCTCATAGGCTTTATGACCGTGCTGATTCGCGTGATCAACCCGGCCTTCCCCGAGGGCGTAATGCTGGCCATTCTCTTTGGCAATGTCTTCGCACCCGTGATTGACCACGTGGCAATGCAAGCCAACATCAAGCGCAGGCTGGCCCGCACCGCTGTCAGCTCTTAGGAGAGATAGACAAAGTGGCTAACGATTCAGTAGGTAGAACATTCGGCGTGGCGCTCGGCGTCTGCCTCGTCTGCTCGGTGCTGGTATCGGCGGCGGCAGTGTCGCTGCGGCCGATCCAAGCGGTCAACAAGGCGCTCGACAAGAAGCGCAATATCCTAATGGCCGCCGGCCTGCTGAAGTCCGGCGAGGTCGCAGGTGGCGAGCGCGTCGGGGAGTTGTACCAAAATATAAATCCCCGCGTCGTCGATTTGGCGACCGGCGAATACGTCGATGGCGTGGACCCGGTCGCCTACGACCAGCGGCAGGCGGCCAAAGATCCGGCGCAGAGCGCGGTGGTACCGACCGATGTGGATATCGCCAACGTCAGGCGCCGCGCGCTTCATGCCTCGGTGTACTTGGTCTCGCAGAAGGACAAGATAAAAAGGTATCCTGCCCGTCCACGGCTTAGGACTGTGGTCCACGCTCTATGGGTTTGTGGCCCTCGATGCCAAGGATCTCAATACCATCCGCGGGCTGGTGTACTACGAACACGCCGAGACGCCGGGTTTGGGGGGCGAGGTTGATAACCCTAGCTGGAAGGCCCTCTGGGACGGCAAAAAGGCCTTCGACGAAAGCGGCGCAGTGCGCATCGAAGTGATCAGGGGCAAGGTCGTTCAGGGACGGCCCGAAGCCCAGTATCAGGTCGATGGGCTGTCGGGTGCCACCATTACCTCGCGCGGCGTCAGGGACATGCTGCGCTACTGGCTGGGTGCGGAAGCCTTTGGGCCGTATCTGGCCAAGCTCAAAAAACGAGGAGTTAGCTAAATGGCTGACAAACCAAGAGACGTCCTCTTCGGGCCGCTCTTTGATTCCAATCCCATTGCCTTGCTGAGCCTCGGTATATGCTCGGCCTTGGCGGTGACGACCAAGTTGGAGACCACCGTCACCATGTGCTTGGCGGTCATTTTCGTGCTCTGCTGCTCCAACGTGGCCGTCAGCTTGATTCGCAGCTTCATCCCGGCCAACATCCGCATTATTGTGGAGATGACGATCATCGCCTCGCTGGTCATTGTCGTCGATCAGTTCCTGCGCGCCTATGCTTTTGAGATCAGCAAGCAGCTTTCGGTCTTCGTCGGGCTGATCATTACCAACTGCATCATCATGGGGCGGGCCGAGGCTTTCGCCTTGCAGAACGGTCCTGGGCTGAGCTTTCTCGACGGCTTGGGCAATGCCTTGGGCTACAGCGTCATTCTGATGGTCGTCGGCGTGTTGCGCGAGCTATTCGGGTCGGGTTCGCTCTTTGGGGCGCAAATGTTCGCATTGGCTACCGAGGGGGGCTGGTACGCGCCCAACGGCCTGATGCTCTTGCCGCCGAGCGCGTTTTTCATCATTGGCTTATTTATATGGGCGCTCCGAAGCTGGAAGAGCGAGCAGGTTGAGAAGGAGTAACTGAACATGGTCGAAGCCTATCTGAGCATATTTATGAAGTCCGTGTTCGTCGAGAACATGGCGCTGGCCTTCTTTTTGGGGATGTGCACTTTTCTGGCGTCTCCAAGGAGGTGCAGACGGCGTTCGGGCTTGGGATCGCCGTAATCGTGGTACAGACGGTTACCGTCCCAGCCAACAATCTAATCTACCAGTATCTGCTCAAGGAAGACGCGCTGGCGTGGGCGGGCTTGAGTGGGGTAGATCTGACCTTTGTCGGGCTGATTAGCTACATCGGCATCATCGCCGCCATGGTGCAGATCCTCGAGATGTTTCTCGACAAGTTCGTGCCGTCCCTCTATAATGCCCTCGGCATCTTCCTGCCCTTGATTACCGTCAATTGCGCGATTCTGGGCGGTTCGCTGTTCATGGTCGAGCGCGACTACAACTTAGGCGAGAGCGTGGTTTTTGGCTTTGGCTCCGGCTTTGGCTGGGCGCTGGCCATCGTCGCGTTGGCGGGCATCCGCGAGAAGATGAAATACAGCGACGTGCCCCCAGGGTTGCGCGGCCTCGGGATCACCTTCATTACAGTGGGGCTGATGTCGTTGGCCTTTATGTCCTTTTCCGGTATTCAGCTCTAAAAGAAAAGATCGTCTTATGACTGAAGTTATTTCCGGCGTCGGCATGTTCACGGGCGTGGTGCTGGCCCTAGTGGCCGTAATTTTGGTCGCGCGCTCCCGGCTGGTGCCCAGCGGCAACGTGCGGATCCTCATCAACGACGACGAGAGCAAGGCCCTCTCCGTTCCAGCCGGAGGCAAGCTGCTCAACGTGCTGGCCGACAACAGGGTCTTCGTATCTTCGGCCTGCGGCGGCGGCGGCACCTGCGCCCAGTGCAAGGTCAACATCTACGAGGGTGGTGGCGATATCTTGCTTTCCGAGACCGGCCACATTACCAAGCGCGAGGCGCGCGAGGGCGTGCGGCTCTCCTGTCAGGTCAACGTCAAGCAAGACATGAAGATCGAAGTGCCACCCGAAGTATTCTCGATCAAGAAGTGGGAGTGCGAAGTCGTCTCCAACGACAACGTGGCGACCTTTATAAAGGAATTTATCGTCAAGCTCCCCGAGGGCGAAACGCTGGATTTCCAGCCCGGCGGCTTTATCCAGATCGAAGTGCCGTCCTTCGAGTGCGACTTCAAGGACTTTGAGGGTATTGAGGAGCGCTTTCACCCCGATTGGGACCGCTTCAAGGTCTGGGATTTCAAAGCCGTCAATACCGAGCCCGTCTTCCGCGCTTATTCAATGGCCAATCACCCGGCCGAGGGCGACATCATCATGCTCAACATCCGCATCGCCACTCCGCCGCCCGACCGCGAGAAGGGTGGCTGGGAGGATGTGCCGCCCGGCATCGCCTCTTCTTATGTGTTCAGCCGCAAGCCGGGCGACATGGTGACGATCTCGGGGCCTTTCGGCGAATTTTTCATCCAAGAAACCGACCGCGAGATGGTCTATATCGGCGGTGGCGCTGGCATGGCACCTTTGCGCTCGCATCTATACCACCTCTTCCACACGCTCAAGACGGGGCGCAAGGTGTCCTATTGGTACGGGCGCGCAATCCCAACGAGGTCTTCTACGAGGACCACTTCCGCAAAATCGAAGAAGAGTTTCCCAACTTCACCTTCCACATCGCCATGTCCGAGCCGCGGCCAGAGGACAATTGGGACGGCTATGTGGGCTTTATTCACCAAGTGGTGCACGACCATTATCTCAAGGATCACTCCGCTCCTGAAGACGTCGAATATTACCTGTGCGGCCCGCCGCTGATGCTCGGATCCGCGCTCGGGATGCTCGACGATCTAGGCATCGAAGAGGAAATGATCCGCTTCGACGAGTTTTGAGAAACGAGGATGACTATGAGCACGCTTATCGTTGCTTTCACCGCCTTTGGGCTGGTCATGGCCGCCATGGCCGTCGGCGTGATTTTCAGCAATCGTCGGATCCAAGGTTCGTGCGGCGGGCTGGGCACTATGCGCGATGCGTTGGGCGAGCCTATGTGCGAGTGCGGTCAGGCCCCCGGCTCGTGCGGGGATGCTGGGTCGGAGACGAGCTGAGCGTTTAAGCGCGGAAACACTTGTTAGAACGGCGGGCTGCCACCGCCGTTTTTCTTTGCTCGTAGAAAATATGGTCGCCAAAAAAAAGACCGGGGCATACGCGGATATTGGTTCGTATGCGAGCCTAGGGATTCAATTCGCGGCGACGATCCTGATCTTTGTGTTTCTCGGCTGGTGGCTCGACGACAAGTTTGCAACTACGCCGCTCTTTCTCTTGGTGGGCACCCTGCTCGGCGCGGGGGGTGGGTTTTACAAACTCTATCGGACGCTGATGGACTTAGATGAGCGGCGCAAGCGGGAGGACGGACGGTGAAGTGGGACAGCATCATCGCTGGCTTGGCGGTCGCTGGGGTCAACGGCGCACTCGCGCTGGCGGTGATTCGCTGGGGATGGGGCAAGGGCATGCAGGTCTTTATGATCGCCTTCTTCGGGGGGATGATCGCGAGGTTTATCGCCGTGGCGGTCCTCTCGGCATTGGCGCTCAAATGGGCCGAGTTCCACCCCGCGAGTTACGTCATCGCGCTAGTGGCCGCGTACTTGCTTTTTCTGGTGTTTGAAATCCTTTACGTACTCAAGCTACAAGGTCGTTCAAAGCCCCGCTCTAAAAGCCCGTGAGGTGTTGACAGAAATTTGCGGCCTAATTAGTTTATTTGGTTGATTACTGCGACAGATTCCCTCCTATTTTTAGATATTTCACAAGGCAGTAAATGGCTGGCGATACGCAGGCGGCAGACGCCGCAAATGCGCAAGTGGACATCATAGGGCACATTCTAGATAGCCCTCATATCGAATTGCCCTTTGTCGATTTTCATCACCTGCTCGCAGGCAAAGTTTCCCTTCCTTCGCTAGAGCTTTTCGGCATCGACCTTTCCATCACCCGGCACGTAGTGATTATGTGGGTGGCGAGCATCCTGCTCATAGTGCTCATGCTCCGGGCCTTCCGCAAGCCGCGCACTGTGCCTTCGGGTCTGGCCAATTTCTTCGAAGCTATCGTCGTCTTTCTGCGCGACGAGGTCGTATTGCCCATCATGGGCGAAGACGGCAAAAAGTATCTGCCTTTTTTGCTGACGCTGTTCTTTTTTATTCTGTTTTGCAACCTACTGGGGCTAGTTCCCTATAGTGCTGCGGCCACTGGTAACATCAGCGTCACGGCGGGTCTGGCCCTGTGTTCCTTTTTGGTCATGTTAGGGGCCGGCATCGCCAACAACGGATTGTTCGGCTACTGCAAGAGCCTGATCCCTTCTGGGGTGCCGCCGGTGCTGCTCATCATTTTGATTCCCGTAGAATTGATTGGTTTGTTGGTCAAGCCCTTCGCTTTGTGTGTGCGTCTTTTCGCCAATATGACCGGCGGCCACGTGGCGATTTTGGTCTTCTTGGGCTTGATCTCCATTCTGCAAAGTGAGTGGATCGCCATTGGATCTGTGCCCTTTGCAGTGGCGATTTACATGCTCGAAATTTTCGTGGGATTCGTCCAAGCCTTTGTCTTTACTCTGCTATCGACGGTCTTTATTAGCATGGCCGCTCATCCAGACCATTAGCAGGGGTTCACACCGTTCACAAGAGGGAGTATTTGGCTATGGAATTTGCGTATATGGGTGCCGGAATTGGCATGGGGCTTTGCGCCATTGGCGCAGGTTTGGGCATCGGCCTGCTGGCCGGCAAAGCACTGGAGGGTGTCGCCCGCCAGCCCGAAGCCGTAGGCGACATCCGCACCAATATGATCCTGACGGCCGCTTTGGTCGAAGGCGTGGCCCTGATCGGCGAGGTGTTTTGTCTGCTGATCGTGCTGACTAAGTAGTACAAGTCTTATGTTACTTGATCCCCATGTGGGGCTCATAATATGGACGATCATCACCTTTTTGGTGGTGCTGCTCGTCCTCAAAAAGTTCGCTTGGCCCCAGCTTTTGGCGTCCCTCGACGAGCGCGAGAAACGCATCAGCGATGCACTCGCCGCGGCCGAGCAGGCGCGCCAAGAGGCCGAAGAAGTCTTGCGCGAGCATCGGCAGAAGATCACCGCCGCCGAGGAAGAAGGCGCGGAAGATCGTCGCCGAGGCGCGCGCGGCCGGGGCAAACGTGCGGCAGACAATCGTCTCCCAAGCGCGGGAAGAGGCGGAGCGGATGCTCGACCAAGCGCGGACCAGTATTGAAAGCGAGAAGCGCGCCGCCATCGCCGAGTTGCGCCGCGAGACGGCCAATCTCGCGATTCAAGCCGCTGGTGTGCTGATCGACGCCAATTTGGACGACGAGAAAAACCGCGGCCTCGTCGACGACTTGATCGCCAAAATTCCCGAATCCAATTGAACGCCACCGTGCGAGCAGGACAATGAACGCACCCGAAGTAGTGCGACGCTACGCGGTTACGCTGTTGGAGGCCGCCGATGAAACGGGCGCGACCGCGGCAGTGCAGCGCGACGTCGAGCGGCTTTTGCAGACGGTGCGCCAATCCGGCGAGTTGGTCGAGTTTTTGTCCAACCCCCTAGCCGACAGCCAAGCTCAAGCCAATGTTCTGCGGCAGCTTTTCAGCGGCAAGGTTGAGGTGCTGACCCTGAACTTCTCCGGCTCATGGCGGTCAGGGGCCGCGCCTCTATCGTCGGCGCGGCACTCGGAAATTTTCTCGATCAGGTCGCCGAGCGCGAGGGCATAATCGGCGCTGAAGTGCGCTCGGCCGTGGCGTTGAGCGAGGAGCAGTGCCAGCGCCTACAAGCGCGCTTAGAGCACCACAGCGGCCGCAAAGTACGCTTGGAGGTCCAAGTCGATACCAGCCTGCGGGGCGGCGCGGTCGTCCGCGTCGGCGACACCGTATTCGACGGCAGTGTGAACACCTATCTAGAGCGCCTACAAGCGCGTCTGGCCGGTTAGTCAGTAGGAGGATCTATGGCCACCGAAGCGATAGTTCAGCCCGATGAGATTTCGCAAATTCTCAAGCAACAGCTACTGGGCTTTGAAAAAGAAATAGACATATACGAGACGGGCACGGTGCTCTACGTCGGCGATGGCACGGCTCGCGTCCACGGTCTAGGCAACGTGCGGGCCACTGAATTGGTGGAATTCCCCCACGGCATTATGGGCATGGCCCTCAACCTCGAAGCAGACAACGTCGGCTGTGTGCTCTTTGGCGAGGACACCCTGATCAGCGAAGGCGACCAAGTAAAGCGCACCGGCCGCATCGTCGAAGTGCCCGTGGGCGAGGCCCTCTTGGGCCGGGTCGTCAATCCCTTGGGCGTGCCCATTGACGGCAAGGGCGACATCCAGGCTGACGAGAGCTTGCCGGTCGAGCGCAAAGCCCCGGGCGTCATCGACCGCCAGCCGGTTACCGAGGCCTTGCAGACGGGTATCAAAATCATCGACGCGACCGTGCCCATCGGCCGTGGCCAGCGCGAGCTGATCATCGGCGATCGCCAGACCGGCAAGACGGCCATTGCCGTTGATACCATCATCAACCAGCACGACCAAGACGTCAAATGCATCTACGTGGCCATCGGCCAAAGGGCCTCGACCGTGGCTAAGGTGGTGGCCGAGTTGGAGGCCAACGGCGCGCTCGACTACACCATCGTCGTATCGGCCACCGCGTCCGACCCAGCGCCCTTGCAGTTTCTCGCACCGTACGCCGGCTGCTTCGATGGGCGAGTATTTCCGCGACCGTGGCCAACACGCGCTCATCATTTACGACGACTTGTCCAAGCAGGCTTGGGCCTACCGCGAGATGTCCTTGATTTTGCGCCGTCCGCCCGGGCGCGAAGCGTATCCTGGCGACGTATTCTACTTGCATTCGCGGCTCTTGGAGCGCGCGGCCAAGATGAACGATGAAAAGGGCGGAGGGTCGCTGACGGCGCTGCCGGTAATCGAAATTCTCGAAGGCGATGTATCGACTTTTGTGCCGACCAATGTCATCTCGATCACCGATGGCCAGATCCTGCTCAAGCCCGAGCTTTTCTATTCGGGCAACCGCCCGGCCATGGACGTGGGGGCCTCGGTGTCGCGAGTGGGGTCGTCCGCGCAGACCAAGGCCATCAAGGGCGTGGCCAGGACCATCAAGGGCGACATTTCCCGCTACAACGAAGTCAAGGCCTTCGCCCAGTTCGGCACGTCGGATCTGGATCAATCCACGCGCAATCTGCTCAACCGCGGCGAGAAGCTGATGGAGCTGCTCAAGCAGGGGCAATACCGGCCGCAATCGCTCGCGGAATTGACGGTCTCGCTGTCGCTCATAGATCACGTGCTCGACCTGCCTACGGCCGACGTGAGGCGCTTTGAGGAAGAGCTGCTAGCGCACATGGGCGATCACCAGTCCGCGCTCATGGACAAAATCGGCAAGTCCCGCGATCTGAGCGACGAGTCCAAGGCCCAGCTAGACGCCGCCATCGCGGAGTTCAAGGGCCGCTTCCGTCCTTCCGAGGAATAGGCTGAGCTGTGGCCACTCTTCGCGAGCTAAGGACGCGCGTTGCCAGCATTACCAATATCCAGCGCGTCACCAACGCCATGCAGATGGTGGCGGCCGCCAAGATGCGCCGCGCCCAAGACGCCATTGCCGCCGCTCGTCCCTATGCCCAGCGGCTAGACCGGTTGCTGAAGCAGCTACACCAGAGCGTCGATACGCAAGAGCAACCGCTTTTCGCCGAGCGCGCGGTCCAGCGCGTGGCCTTGGTAGTCGTAACCTCCGACCGCGGTCTTTGTGGCGGCTTTAATTCCAATCTGTGTCGCCGCGTCCAAGCCGAGCTAGGCGAGTACGCGGACGCCGAGGTCGAGTTAATCACGGTCGGACGCAAGGGCCGGGACTTTTTCAACGCTCGCGGGTACACTATCGCCAGCCACCACGCCGACGTGTTCAGCCGGCTCGAATTCGCCCGCGCTACGGCTATCGCCCAAGACCTGACGCGCCGCTTCGCCGCGGCCGAGACCGACCGGGTGTTGCTCTGCTACAGCGAATTTGTCTCGGTTGCCGCGCAGGTGCCCGTCGTCAGCCAGCTTTTGCCCATCGTGCCCGAGGAGGGCGCAGTCGAGGCGGCTGACTACACTTTTGAGCCGGGGCCCGAACAGTTGTTGGAAACGCTCGTGCCGCGCCAAGTCAACTTCCAGATCTGGCGCGCCCTGTTGGAGTCGAATGCAGGCTTTTTTGCTGCGCAGATGACCGCAATGGACAACGCCACCAAGAACGCTGGCGACCTAATTGAGGAACTGACCCGCGAGGTAAACAAGGAGCGGCAGGCCTCGATCACCCTTGAATTGATGGACATCATCGGCGGGGCCGAGGCCGTGGCCCAATAGCGCCATTACACGCGAGGTAGGCATGAAAGAAGGAAAGGTCAAAGAGATCATCGGCGTCGTCATCGATGTCGATTTCGCCGGGCAGGAACTGCCGCCCATCTACAACGCCCTCGAAGTGGTACCCGAAGACCGCCCTAGGGAAGAGCGTCTCGTGCTCGAAGTGCAGCAACATCTGGGAGAGCACGTGGTGCGCTGCGTAGCGATGGATTCTACCGACGGCCTGATGCGCGGCGCGCGCGTCGTCGATAGCGGCGGCCCGATCGAGGTCCCAGTAGGCGAGGCCGTTTTGGGTCGCCTCTTCAACGTCATTGGCGAGCCAATCGACGGCAAGGGCGCGCTCGGCAGCGAGGTGCCCCGGATGCCCTTGCACCGCCCGGCTCCGGCCCACCAAGACCAAGTCACTTCAGACGAAATGTTGGAGACCGGCGTAAAGGTCCTCGACTTGATCTGTCCGTTTGCCCGCGGCGGCAAGCTGGGGCTTTTCGGGGGTGCTGGGGTCGGCAAGACGGTCATTCTCACCGAGTTGATCAACAATGTGGCCTCCGGGCACGGCGGTTATTCGGTCTTCGCCGGCGTAGGCGAGCGCACGCGCGAAGGCAACGACCTGCTGGGCGAGTTGGAAGAGTCGGGCGTCATCGACAAGACGGCCATGGTCTTTGGGCAGATGAACGAGCCGCCCGGTGCGCGCCAGCGCATCGCCCTTACCGGGCTGACCATTGCCGAGCACTTCCGCGACGAGGCCGGCCAAGACGTGTTGTTTTTTGTCGATAATATCTTTCGCTTCATCCTCGCCGGTGCCGAAGTCTCGGCTCTATTGGGTCGCATGCCCTCGGCCGTGGGCTACCAGCCGACCTTGGCGACCGAGATGGGTGCCCTGCAGGAGCGGATTACCACCACCAAGGATGGCTCGATCACTTCGGTGCAAGCCATTTACGTGCCGGCCGACGACTATACAGACCCGGGCGTGGTTTCGGCCTTTGCCCACCTCGACGGCCGCATTGTGCTGGAGCGTTCCTTGGCCGATCAAGGGCTATACCCGGCGGTCGATCCCCTCGGCTCCTCGTCGCGCATCCTCGATCCGCGCGTCGTCGGCGAAGAGCACTATCAGGTCGCCCAGCGCGTCCAAGAGGTCTTACAGCGCTACCGCGATCTGCGCGAGATCATCGCCATTCTCGGCCTCGACGAGCTGTCGGACGAGGACAAGCTTATTGTATCGAGAGCGCGCAAGATTCAATTCTTCCTCACGCAGCCCATGCACGTGGCCGAGGCCTTCACCGGCAAGCCGGGCGAATACGTCAAAATCGAAGACACGATCCGCGGCTTTAAGGGGCTGGTCGAAGGCGAGTACGACGACGTGCCCGAACTCGCCTTCTTCCTCGTCGGCACTATCGAACAGGCCCTACAAGCCGCCAAGGATCTTTAGTCCATGCCCGCCTTCGCCTTAGAGGTCGTCACTCCAGAGCGGGTGGCCTACTCGGGGCAGGTCACCAGCCTGCAAGCGCCCGGCAGCGAGGGGAGTTTCGGCGTCCTCGCCGGCCACATCCCGCTTTTGACCGGATTGCAGACCGGGCGGTTGCGCTTTGTCGAGGAGGACGGCAGCGAGGTCCAAATGGCCATCAGCGGTGGCTTTGTCGAGGTCGGGCGCGAGCAAGTCGCGGTGCTGGCCGAGACCGCCGAACGCATCGAGGAAATCGACGTTGAGCGGGCTGAGTCTTCGCGCCAGCGCGCTGAGGAGCGCCTCGCCAAGGCGCACACCGGGCAAGAAGAGATCGACGCAGCGCGCGCCGAAGCGGCCCTATCGCGCGCTATCAATCGCCTCCGCACGAGTAGCTAATTTTTATAGGAGCACCTGTAAAGCAAAAGGCACTTGCGACTGCGGTTCGCAAGTGCCTTTTGCTTTCGGTGAGGTCGTAGCCCTTACCTCTCGTCTCTTCCAATCTCTGTCTCCAGTGAGTATTCCCGCACCGCGCCCGGTGCCAACTCAATGCGCTGCCAGTCGGCCGTCCCTGTCATGCGCCACCCCAGCACCTGCCGTTCCTCGCCCCCATTGTAAAACAGCACCGCGCCCGGTCTACTGACCGGCGGTTGCAAAAGGGCTAGGATCTGCTCGGGCAGATGGCCTGCGGCCCACTCGACCAGCGGCACCACCGCGCCCTGTATCTCGCGCGTGCCCATCAACAACGGCCCATAGCAACCCGTCACCGCCCCGCAGCCCCAATTGCGCCCGTGCCCCGCGGCCACCGAGCAAATCGCCCCGCCCATATCGGCGTGCTCGCGCCCACCGCGCAACACCCGCCGGGCCATGGCGAATTTGGCCGCCGCCGCCCCCAGCGCCCGCCGGGCCATGGTCCACTCGCCCGTCAATTGATACCCCAGCGCCAATGCCGCCGTGCTCGGCTCGCGCGAGGGCTGCACCGAGCCATTTTCCGCCCAATGGCCCCAGTAAATCATGTCGCTGCGTTTGCCCACCCCCGGCTCGCGACGCTTCCGCTCTTGGGCAAAGACCATCGCCCACGGTGCTTCCGACTCGGCGGGTTGTCGCGCCAGCACCGCGCACATCGCGTCGTCCAGCGAGGAATCGGCGAAGGTCCGGCGATAGTAGGAGAGCGCGGCGGCGGCCGGGTCGGCGTAGGGATCGAGCAATTCGCCGATTAGCGGCTCGACGATTCTCTTCGCCGCGCGGCGAAAGATATCGTCCCCCTCCAGCAAAAAGAGATCGCCCAGCGCGTAGACCGCGCCCGACGCCAGCAGATTTTCGATACCAGCGAGCGGGTCGCCGGCGATGTGGTGGTTGTTGGCGGCCATCCCCCGCTCTGCGCGGGTCTGCAAATCCTCCGGCTGCAATCCACGCCCGTCCAGATCCCACAACACGGGCATCGGTCCGTCCGCCGCAGCAACCGCTCGGCCCGCTTGCGCCCATAGCGCAGCGCCCAGTCGCGGTAGCGCGCCTCACCCGTGACGCGCCAGGCGGCCAGCGCAATGTGCAAAAAGCGGAAGTGCTCGGCCAACTCGCGATCGCCGTGTGCCCCACCGACGGTCCGCGTGCCGATCCAGTAGCTCAAAAAGACGTCGCGCGTCCAGTCGTACCAAGCGGGCACACCCTCGATCCAGTTGCCTATGTGGTGCGCTACGTCGTCGAGCAGGGCGGCGGCTTCTCTGTCGTCGGGAAAGAGTCCCAGATAGCGGGGCAGAAACAACAAAAAGGGCTCGGTGCCGTGGTGGGCCTCGGCTTCGGGCTCGTACCCGTGCAGGCACTCGGCTCTAACCCAGGCCTTGAGGTCATTGGCCAGCGCGCGAAACCGCACCGCGATCCGCTCGTCGCCGCTGACCAGATAATGCGGAAAGAAGGCCAGCGCGAAATTGGCCTCGTCCTCGCCGCCTTGGTTTCTGTCCGGCCCGTCGCGGCGAATGCTCTGCTCGACCCACAGCGAGAGTTCGCGCCGCAATGCCACATAGTGCGCGTAGGTCTGTGCCAGTTCGTCGATCATTTCAGTGTGGGGCCGCGCAAGTGCTTGAAAAAAGCCAGATATGAAAAGCCCCCGAGGAGGCGACCCCCGGGGGCTTGTGTTAAACGACAAACCGCCAAAGTTAGCGGCAGGAAAATATGGTAGCGGCGAAGGGACTCGAACCCCCGACCCATGGATTATGATTCCACTGCTCTAACCAACTGAGCTACGCCGCCAAAAACTTGTTTAAAAGCTAGACGGTGGGGGGGGCTTTGTCAATAGGACTCAGAAGGCGAACAGATCCTCCAAGCCCAACTCGACGAGCTCGCCCTGCGCTGCTAGCGCCTCTAGGTCCATCTTGCTCTTGTCGCCGGTGATCGAAATCAGCTTGGGGCGGCCTTGGATGTGTTGGCGGTAGAATTCGAGCACTTCGTCGAGGTCGCTGGCTTGGAGCTGCTCAAAGCGCCAAGAGCGTGGGTCGCCGGTCAGCCCCTTGCGCTCCCAGCCGCGCACAGCCCCCAGCACCGAGCGAAAGCCAAGGCGCTCCGTGCGGTACTTGTTGAGTACTGAAAGCTGTGCGGCGGTAAAGCGCTCGGGCGAGGAGGGAATGTCGTCGAGCAGGCCGACGAAGGCCGTAACCGCCTCGGGCGTCTTGTCGGCTTGCGTGCCCATGCCGCCGACCATGTAGTTGTAGTCGGCTTTGTCGCGGCCGTTGAAGTAGAGGGCACCCACCGAGTAGGCCAAGGCCCGCGCTTCGCGGATCTCTTGGAATACGATGCCGGCCATGCCGCCGTAGAAGTAGTCGTTGAACAGCTCGACTGCTGGCTCGAGCGCCGCTTGATAGGGCACGTCCACGTATTCGATCCTCACTAAGGGCTTGGGCCATTTCCTTGTCAAAGAAGTAGATCTGGGTTTTTTCGGGCTGGGTAAATTCCAAAACCTGATAGGGCGGCGGCTCGACTGGAGACTCAGGCAGCGGGTAGTGCTGGGTCGAGGATGGCTGTACGTCCTCGATGGATTGCGATCCGGTGTAGCTGAGGGTCTGGCGATAGGAGAGCAAGCTGCTGAGTAGGTCGATAAGCTCTTCGCGGCCGAGAGCGCGAACTGCCTCGTTGGACAATACCCGGCGGTAGTACGCCATGTCGCCAAGCGGTGGTAACGGTAGAGAGCTTCGTGGATGGTGCGGTGATCCTTGAGCGCGTCGTCGCGCCGAGCGATGATGATGGACTGAAGCTCGGCGAGGGTGGCGTCGTCGGTGGTCGGGCCGTGCATCAGCTCGGACAACAAGGCGAGCGACGCAGCGAAATGTTCGTCGAGGCCCGAAATGGAAATCGTGGTCTCTTGGTCGTCGACGCTCATCCTAAAGTCGGTGCCCAACTTGTACCACTCCTTTTTTAGTTCTTCGGAGGTAAAGCTCGGGGTGCCCGACTTGTCGAGCAGTTCGCGGGCCACAGGCAGGCGGTTTTCGCTTAGAGAGCCAATGTCAATCGCGATAGAAAATTCGAAGAGGTCGTTGAGGGGATTGCGGGCGTAGTAGAGCTTGCTGCCGCCCACTAGCTCGCGGGTGGTAAAGTCGCGCTCGGGCACGAGGTAGGCCGGCTCGACCTCCGCAAAGGGCATGGCCATGACCTCGGCGGAAAAGGCCGATTGGCGCGAGGCATCGATGTCGATTTTGTCGATGGGCGGCTTGGCGATCTCGGGTATGTCCTGTTCGCCATCGCGGCGGTAGCCAGCGACATACGTTCCGTTGAAGTACTTATTGGCGACTTTGACGATGTCTTGCTTGTCGATCTCGGCCATGCGGTCGAGGGCACGCACCGCGTGGCTCCATTCCTCAAACCCGAGATACGAATCGCGCATGGAACTGACCCGCGAACTGTTGTTTTCCTGCCCCTGCTTTACGCTCTTCTTGAAATCGGTGACAATGGCCGGGATGATCCAATCCTCGAATTGCCCCTCCTTGATCAGGTCAATCTGCTCCAAAAGCAGAGCCTCGACTTCCGCAAGGGTCTGGTCCTGTTTGGGGATGCCCCACAAGTACTGGGCGCCATAGTCGTTGAGTAGATAAGGGTAGGAGCCGGCTTCGCGCACCTTCTGCTGCTGATTGAGATTGAGGTTGATCAGCCCAGCGGTGGCGTTGTCGAGGATCATGTCGAGGATCTGCAGGGCCTCGGCGTCTCCGTGTGTGCGCTGCGCCGTGCGAAAGGCCAAAAGTACGTATTCCTCGCCGGGATAATTGACCTCGACTCGTTCCACTTCGTCGATTGCAGGCTCTTTGTACTTGGGGAATTGAGGCAGTTCCCTGCGTTCCCAGAGCGAGAATTCGCGGTCGATGAGCTGGATGGTCTCGTCGATGTCGATGTCGCCCGAAATGAAGATCGCCATGTTGTTGGGCACGTAATACGTGTGGTAAAACTCGTACATGCGCTCTAGCGAGGGGTTTTTCAGGTGCTCTACCGTGCCTAGCGTGGTGACGCGGTAGGGATGGACCTTGTAGAACTGCTCCTGCACAGCCTTGCGAATGACGCGGCTCTTGTTGTCGAGGGAGCGGTTTTTTTCCTCGTAGACGGTTTCCAGCTCGGTTTGGAAGAGGCGGAAGACGGGCTCGTGGAAGCGCTCGGCCTCGATTTTGGCCCATTGCGCTAGGCGATTGGCTGGCAGTTCCACCTTATAGACGGTTTCCTCAACCCACGTGTGGGCGTTGAGGCTGCGCTCGCCCATCGCGGTGTAGAGGCGGTCGAGTTCATTGGGAATGGCGTAGGCCGAGGCGAGTTGGTTTTCAGCGTTGATCTGTGCGTAGATGGCGGCCCTTTTTTCCGGGTCAGTCTCGTTGAAGTGCTGCTCGTAGAGCGCCTCGATGCGGTCGAGGTGGACCTGCTCCTTTTCGTAGTCGAGGGTGCCGATTTTTTGGCTGCCCTTGAAGAGCATGTGCTCCAGATAATGGGCGATGCCGGTGGCGTCTTGGGGGTCGTGCTTGGAACCGGCGCGAACGGCGATTTCGGCGTAGAAGCGAGGTTCTTCGCTGTTTTGGGTTAGATAGACCGTCAGGCCGTTGTCCAATTGGTAGATATGGGCCGCCATGGGGTCTTTGGGATCCGGGCCGTGGAGCAGTTTGTACTCGGCGGGAAGGGCCTCGGCCAAGACGAGAAAAAGAGCGCGTACAGCAGGTGCATAACCAATCCTCTGTTCGGGGTATGTGTGTAACGGATCATCGGAAATACGAAAAAGGGGTGAATTATGGCAAGTCCGCAAAAAAGCGTGCAGCGCGTTGGCGTGGCACGTTTTTTTCTTTGTTGTACCTAAAGGTGGTTCGGAGCGCCTATGGCGTAGTCCTTGGGTAACGAGAAGCGGGTAAAATGGAAACACTACAGACGTGGGGCCGCGCCCTGTTGGACTTTGCCTATCCGCCGCACTGCGCGGTGTGCGAAGCGGACATCGAGGCCGACGCGCTGCTGTGCGGGTCGTGCTGGGCGGAGATTGTGCCGCACCATCCGCGTCCTCGGCCCGAGGACGGAGGACGTGCGTTTGAAAAGGTCGTCGCCTTGGGGCCGTTCACCGGCGTGCTGCAACAGGCCATTTACGCGCTTAAATTTCGCAACCAAGTGCGATTAGGAAGGGCATTGGGCCAGCGCATGGGTCAGTGCTTGGCCGAGCAACTCGCCCCGCTGGATTGCTTGTTGCCCGTGCCCTTGCACCCGGCTCGGCTGCGGGAGCGCGGCTACAATCAGAGCGCGGAAATCGCCGCCGGATTGGGAGCCGCGCTCGGCGTGCCCGTGTACCACGGGGTCGTGCGGCGGCGGAAAAATACTCGGCAGCAAGCCCTCTTGTCGGCCGAGGAACGCCGCGCCAATCTCCGCGGTGCCTTTGCGCTCGTGGGCGCGCTGCCGGCAGGCACTCGGATTGGCATAGTAGATGACGTGTGGACGACCGGCGAGACCATGGCTGCTTGTGCCCAAGCTGTGGGGAGCGACCGCCTGTGGGCCGTTGTCTTGGCGCGCTCGGGCACGGGCGATCTATTGACCTAATTCTAATAATTGCCTACATTTAGACCTTTTTTGAAATCCCCCATCTCCAAGCTATACTCAGAGTTGGCCGCCAGCCAAGGAGTCCGAATATGGCCGAAAAGACGATCGGCATATTGACCGGAGGAGGCGACTGTCCGGGCCTCAACGCCGTCATTCGCGCTGTGGTGCGCAAGGGCATTACTGCATACCGATACCGCTTTCGCGGCATCCTCAAGGGCTGGAAAGGGATGATGGAATGCGACTGGGAGCCTTTGGGTCTGGAGGAAATTTCCGGCATTTTGCCCAAGGGCGGCACCATCCTCGGTACGTCGCGCACCAACCCGTTCAAAGAGGAAGACGGCGGCGAAATCGTCGTCGATAACATGCGGCGGATGAAGTTGGATGCGCTCGTGGCCATCGGCGGCGAGGACACGCTGGGGGTGGCCAACAAGCTAGCGAGCATGAGCGTGCCGATCGTAGGTGTGCCCAAGACCATCGACAACGACCTGAACGGCACGGACTACACTTTTGGCTTTGACACCGCGGTCAATATCGTCACCGAGGCCATCGACCGGATCCATACCACGGCCGAATCCCACAACCGAGTGATGGTCATCGAGGTCATGGGGCGGCACAGCGGTTGGATCGCCCTCCACGCTGGCTTGGCCGGTGGCGCGGATATGATCCTCATCCCCGAGCAGAAATACACCATCCAGGAAATCGTCAGCACCATCCGCAAGCGACACGAGCGCGGCAAGGACTTTTCGATTGTGGTAGTCGCCGAGGGAGCGCAACTAGTTTCCGAGGAAGGCGAGGAGAACAAATACGTGGTCTCCAAGGGGGGCCTCGACGAGTTCGGCCACGTCAAGCTAGGCGGCATCGGCCAACTTGTCGCCCACGCGGTCGAGGAGGGAACGAGCTATGAGACGCGGGTGACTGTGCTAGGGCACTTGCAGCGCGGGGGGACACCCACGGCCTTCGATCGCGTCTTGGGTACGCGCTTTGGCATTGCCGCCATCGACTTGGTTCACGCCGGCGACTTCGGCAAGATGGTGAGTCTGCAAGGCAATGAAATCGTGGCGATCCCACTGGCCGAGGCGGTCAATCAGCTCAAGCTCGTGGACCAAGAGCTATACGACCTAGCGACGGTATTCTTCGGTTGATCGCATGGCTAAGCGCACCATCAGGGAGCTCGATGTGGCTGGCAAGCGGGTCCTCGTGCGCGTGGATTTCAACGTGCCGCTCGACGAAGCTGGCCGAATCGTCGACGACACGCGGATTCGCGCCGCTCTGCCAACGGTTGAGCACTTGTTGGCGCAGGGTGCGTCCGTAATTCTGATGTCGCACTTGGGTCGCCCCCGTGGGCGACGAGTCCCCGCGCTATCGCTGGCCCCGGTAGCCGAGCGCCTAAGCCAGTTGTTGGGACGCGCGGTGGGCATGGCTCCAGATTGCGTGGGGACCGAGGTTGCAGCCCAAGCCGCGGCCTTGCAGCCGGGGCAGGTCCTGCTCTTAGAGAATGTGCGCTTCCACCCGCAAGAGGAGCAAAACGAGCGGACTTTTGCGCAGCACTTAGCCGAGTTGGGCGATGCGTACGTCAACGACGCCTTTGGGGCGGCGCACCGAGCCCACGCCTCGACTGAGGGGGTGCCGCGCTGTATGGGCGCGGGGGCCAGCGGCCTGTTGATGGAGCGGGAAATTGCCTATCTCGACGAGACGCTGCGCTGTCCGCAACTGCCATTTACCGCCGTTTTGGGCGGGGCCAAGATCTCGGGCAAGATCGAGCTGATTGAGCACTTGCTCGACCGAGTGGACGCCCTGCTTATCGGCGGTGGTATGGCCTATACCTTTTTCAAAGCTATGGGGTTGGAGATCGGGGATTCGCTGCTCGAAGAGGACCGCATAGATACAGCCCGACAGCTATTGACCCGAGTAGAAAAGGGTGGATTGGATCTCCAGCTTCCAGTGGATTGCGTGGTCGCCGACCGCTTTGCCGCCGACGCCCAAGTGCAAGTGGTCGCCTGCGACGCCATACCACGCGGTTGGCAGGGCATGGACATCGGCCCCCAGACCCGGCAGCGCTATGCCGACCAGATCGCTCGCGGGGGCACCATAGTGTGGAACGGCCCCCTCGGAGTCTGTGAGATGGTGCCCTTTGCCCAAGGTACCCAACAGGTCGCCCTAGCCCTAGCGGCCGCCACCCGCGAGGGTGCCGTGAGCATTATTGGCGGCGGGGACACGGCCGCGGCGGTAGCCCAGGCCGGCTTGGCCCAGGCGATGACTCACATCTCCACTGGGGGCGGAGCTTCGCTAGAGTGCATGAGTGGGCGAGTCTTGCCCGGGGTGGCGGTCTTAGACGACGAGGAAAGCTGAAATGCGCCGACCCATTGTAGCTGGCAACTGGAAGATGCACAAGACCGCTGCGGAGGCCGTCGAGCTGGTCGCAGGGATTAAGCCGCTCGTCGCGGGACTCGACGTAGAAGTCGTCGTCTGCCCGCCCTTCACCTGCTTGGAACCCGTGCGCACGGCCCTTGCCGACAGCGCCATTGGACTGGGGGCCCAGAACATGCACTGGGAGCGGCAGGGAGCTTCACCGGAGAAATATCCTCCGACATGCTCTTGGCGGCCGGTTGCTCTTATGTGTTGCTAGGGCATTCCGAGAGAAGACAATTTTGCGGTGAGGACGATTCGCAGGTCAACCGCAAGCTAGTCTGTGCCCTCCGAGCCGGCCTGTGCCCAATCGTCTGCGTCGGCGAGACCCTGCAAGAGCGCGAAGCCAGCCGAATTGAGGAGGTCGTCCTCGGCCAAGTGGGCGGTGCCCTAGCCGGGATTGAGGCGAGCGCCGCTAGCGCGGTGCTGTGGGCGTACGAGCCGGTTTGGGCGATTGGCACGGGCGTGACGGCGACGGCCGCGCAAGCCGAAGAGGTGCATGCGATGATCCGCCACTTCCTCGCTGGGCACTTGGGAAAAGCCGACGCCGACGAGGTGCGCATCCAGTACGGCGGCAGCGTCAAGCCCGAAAACGCCGCCGAGCTCTTTGCCCAAGACAACATCGACGGGGGCTTGATCGGCGGTGCCGCGCTGGACGCCGGGCAGTTTGCCGCTATTGTGAAGGCCGCCCTTTAACCTTAAATTTACTCCAATTACTAATTGGGAATTACGAGTTGAGGCGGCGGTAATGCGCAATTCGCAATTCCTATACTTGGGAACCATCATAAGACTATGTTTGAGATTCTATTTACGATTTTTCACGTGCTGATTTGCTTGCTCCTAGTCGTGACCGTGCTCTTGCAGGCGGGCAAGGGGGGCGGCTTGGCCGGATCGATCGGCGGTGGCTTAGCCTCTTCCTCAGTGTTGGGCGGCCGCACCGCAGCCACGTTTCTGACCAAGGCCACGACCATTCTGGCCACGGCCTTTATGCTTAGCTGTTTGGTGCAGTCGGTGGCCTTTCAGACGGCCGAGACCACCCCGACGACGGCAACGCAACGGACGATGGCCGAGCAACAGGTGCCAGCAGCGGTGCCCGACATCCCGGAGGCAGGCACCTGCTGGGCGAGGAGGAAAAGCCGGCTGAGGCCGGAACCGCTGAGGAGCCACCGGCCGAAGCTCAGTAGCAGGCCAGCCTAGTTTTTGTGCCGAAGTGGTGAAATTGGTAGACACGCTGTCTTGAGGGGGCAGTGCCTTAGGGCGTCGGGGTTCGAATCCCCGCTTCGGCACCATAATGTGTAAGTTAGCAAAGGGACTGTACAATCGTACAGTCCCTTTTTTATTTGAGCGCGGCGCAGGCGCTAGCGGAGTGGAATGGCCTCGTCGAGGAGCAGGATGGGGATTTCGTCCTGTATCGGATAGAGGTACGCGCCATCTGCGCGCACCAGCCCGCCGTCAATTTTGCCTTCTACGGTCTTGCCAGCCCGATTTTTGACTTCCCCGCGCGCGATGCGGCTGTTGAGCGCGGCGATGAGTTCTTCCTCGGCGAGAGCGACCGGCTCCTTGGTCTCGGGGCAGGCGAGAATCGCCAACAGTTCTTGGTCGATCATTAGATATATCTCCTCGGCAAAAAATCAAAGATAGACCGGTCTGTCGCCAGCGACAAGTTCGCGGTGTAGGCGGATAGGGTCTTTTTTGTCAGCGGTGTACAACAAATTATTTTTTCATAAATGAAATAATAATAACATATTATGAAAAAATAATCCCCTCTGTGAGCCGTTGACATCCCCTTTTGAATTGGCTATGTTTCACCCGAGGCGATGCCCTTCCCCAGGCAGTTTGGCCAGTCGTAGTGTCCAGAGATTTTTTCTAGCGCATACAGGTAGCGGAGGTGGTCATGGCTTCGGCTGATTTCGTCCATTTACACGGTCACAGCGAATACAGTCTGCTCGATGGAGGATGCCGAGTCGGCGAGATGGCCGAGTTGGCAGCCGAGCAGGGCATGCCCGCCTTAGCTCTCACAGATCACGGCAACCTCTTCGGCGTCATCGAGCACTATAAGACCTGCCAAGACGCTGGCATTAAGCCCATCATCGGCTGCGAAGTTTATGTGGCGATTGATAGCCGCCACTTGCGCCAGGCCGCTCGCGGTCTAACCCACGCCTCCAACCACCTGATTTTGCTGGCCAAAGACACCACCGGCTACCGCAATCTGACCAAGCTCGTCTCCAAGGGCTATCTCGAAGGCTACTACTACAATCCCCGCATAGACAAGGAGCTTTTGCGCGAACACGCCGAGGGCCTAATCTGCATGTCGGCCTGCATCGGCGGCGAGATTCCGCATCTGATCCAGCGCGAAGGGCTAGCCGCAGCCGAAACGGTCGCCCGCGAATTTATGGATATCTTTGGCGACGACTACTACTTGGAGATCCAGCGCCACGACATCGACCCCGAAGCCAAGGTGAACGACGGCCTGCTCAAGCTGCACCACAAGCTGGGAGTGCCGTTGGTGGCCACCAACGACTTCCACTTCCTCCGCGCCACCGACCACGACGCCCACGACGCCCTGATCTGCATTCAGACCGGCAAGACGGTTGACGAGAAAAATCGCCTGTGCTATCCCGCCGGACTCTACATGAAGAGTCCCGAAGAGATGCAAACGCTGTTTGCGGATTTGCCCGACGCGCTGGAGCGGACCCTCGAAATTGCCGACAAGTGCAACGTCGAGCTCGAGTTCGGGAAAACCTATATGCCGAATTTTCCGATCCCGGCTGGCTACGCTTCTAGCGACGACTATCTGACGCAACTGGCGCAGGAGGGTTTGGAGCGGCGCTACGGCACCGTCGATCCAGCCGTGCAAGAGCGGCTCGACTACGAGCTAAGCGTCATCACCAGCCAGGATTTTTCCGGCTATTTCCTCATTGTCTGGGACCTTATCAACTACGCCCGCCAGCAGGACATCTCCGTGGGGCCAGGGCGCTGGCTCGGCCGCCGGTTGCTTGGCCTCGTATTGCCTCGGCATTACCAATGTAGATCCGATCAAGTACGACCTGATCTTTGAGCGCTTCCTCAATCCCGAGCGCATTGAGCCGCCCGATATCGACATCGACTTTGACGATACTCGGCGCGACGAAGTGCTGCGCTATGTGGTGGATAAATACGGCAAGGACAATGTCTCACAGGTCATCACGTTTGGGACTATGGGGGCTAAAGCGGTAGTGCGCGATGTCGGGCGGGTTTTGGGCATGTCCCTTGGCGAGGTTGATCGCATCGCCAAGCTGGTGCCGACCGAACTGAAAATCACCCTCGACAAGGCCATCGAACGGGTGCCCGAGCTACAGCAGATAGCCCAAGCGCCTGGCAACGAGGGCAAGCTGGTCGAATACGCCCGCAAGCTGGAGGGCACGGCGCGCCACGCCTCGGTCCACGCCTGCGCTGTCATCATCGCCCCCGGCGAACTGACCGATTACGTGCCGCTCTATCGCTCCCCCAAAGACGGGAGGATAACCACCCAGTTCGTCGGCGAGACCTGCATGGATATCGGCTTGCTGAAGATGGACATCTTGGGCTTGAAAGAGCTTTCGCTGGTCGATGAGGCCGTGCGCCTGATTCAACTCAAGGAGCCGGACTTTGATTTGGAAACCCTGCCGTGGGACGACCGGGCCACTTTCGACCTGTTCGGGCGCGGCGAGACGATCGGCGTTTTCCAGTTTGAGTCAGCGGGGATGCGCGAATACCTGATCAAGCTCAAGCCGGACACCATCGAAGACATTATCGCCATGAACGCCCTCTATCGCCCAGGGCCGATGGACAATATCCCGACCTTCATCGCCCGCAAGCGCGGCGAAGAGCCCGTCTCCTACGACCATCCCAAGTTAGAGTCGATTTTGGAGCCGACCTATGGGATTATGGTCTATCAGGAGCAGGTCATGCGCATTGCCCAAGAGCTGGCCGGTTTCACCCTCGGCCAAGCCGATATTCTGCGCAAGGCAATGGGCAAGAAAAAGCCCGAGGAAATGGCTAAGGTCAAAAAAGACTTCGTCGGCGGCTGCGTCGCACACGAGGTGGAAAAGACATTGGCCAACAAGCTGTTCGGCGAGATCGAAATTTTTGCCGGCTATGCCTTCAACAAGTCGCACGCGGTCTGCTATGCCGAAGGCGCGTACAAAAACGCGTACCTCAAGGCCAATTATCCCCAAGAGTACATGGCCGCCAGCCTGACCATTGAGCGCGGCAACACCGACCGGCTGACCATCTTGCTCGACGACTGCCGCCGCATGGGCATTCGAGTTATGCCGCCGGACATCAACCAGAGTACGCTCAACTTCACGCCGACGGACGAGGGCATTCGCTATGGCTTGGCGGCAATAAAAAACGTCGGCGAGGGCGCGGCGCAGAGCATGGTCGATACGCGGATTGCCGACGGACCTTTTACTACCCTTTTCGAATTCTGCGAGCGCATCGATTTACGCGCAGTCAACCGGCGCGTGGTCGAGAGTCTGATTGCCGCTGGGGCATTGGACGGCCTCGAAGGCCATCGCGCGCAAAGATGGAAGCCCTCGAATCGGCGTTCAAGGCCGCAGGCAAGGCCCAGGAAGCCCGCGAGAAGGGGCAGATCAGCCTCTTCGACGGCGGCGGCTCGTCCGAATTGGTGGCGCAGGACTTGCCCAATGTCGAGGAGTGGCCCGAGCGCGAGAAGCTGGCCAAAGGAACGCGATCTATTGGGCTTCTATATCTCCAGCCATCCGCTCAAGCCCTACGCTCGCGACTTAAAAAACTTCGCGCGGCCCCTAAGCGAGATAGACGGGCAGCACAACGGCGCGCCGTTGCGGGTCGGCGGCCTAGTCGAGGAGGTGCGCAAGCTCTTTGACCGCCGCGGCAATCCCTTTGCCTTTGTCACGCTCAAAGACCTCAACGACACGGGCGATATCGCGTTTTTCGCCGAAGCCTTTGCCAACCACCAACAGCTACTCGTGGAAGGCGAAACCATCCTCGTAGAGGGCCGCGTGTACGAGCGCAACGGACGCCTGAGTGTACAGGCCGACCGCGCCCTGCCCCTCAAATCGGCGCGGGCGGAACTGACCAAGTCCGTCACCTTGTCGCTGCCCTACCAGAAAGTGGGCGACCCTCTGCTTAGCCGGCTACGCCACCTCTGCGAGCGTCACATGGGCGATTGCGAGTTGTGGCTCCAGCTCAAAAACGGCGACGAGCAGGACAAAATGGTGCGCTCGAAGACGATTCGCGTCGATCCCTGCGACGATTTGCTGCGCGGCATTGAGGAATTGATCGGCCCCCGATCCACCCGGCTGGAGCCCAAAATGCAAGCGCCCGTGGGCTTCCGCCATTCCAGTTGAATACAGGACGTACTATGCACGCAATGGCGATCAAGGGGCTTGTGAGTGGGTTGGCACTGCTAGCGCTGAGCTGTAGCTCCTCCGAGCCGCAAGGGGACAAGCTCTTCCCTCCGCAGTCTGCCCAGTGGAGCGACTATCAGGGCCGGAGCGTGGATTTGCGCGATTACGAGGGCAAGATCGTCCTGGTTAACTTCTGGGCGACTTGGTGCGGCCCGTGCCGCTACGAGATCCCAGCCTTAGTCGAGATGAGCAATGAGTACGATCCCGAACAGGTGGCGATCATTGGCATTTCTCTGGATCAAGGCCCGACCGAGCGCGTCCTACCCCTAATAGGCGAGTTCGTCGAGCGCTTGGCCATCAACTACCCGGTGGTGCACGATAGCCAACACGAGCTACTCCGCGCCTTCTACAAAGAAAACTTGGCGAGGGTAGGCGTGCCGCTCACCTTTGTTTTTGATCGCCAAGGCCGCGTGTACAAGACGCATGTAGGTGTGCCACGCGACAGGAGCGGCCGGCTCAATCCCCGTGGGGTATTCGGCGAGGATATCGAGACCCTGTTGGCTCGCTCGTAGGGCGTCGGTATAGAGCAAAAGAAGGGATGGTCCCACTGCGGACCATCCCTTCTTTGCATGTAGGTATTGCGCGTTGTCCTAGTGGTTTGAGTAGTGCTCCGCTAAGACTTGCTCGCCGTGGCGCTTGACCAGCACTTCTTTGAACGCAGCGATGGAGTCGCCGGTGCGCAGGTGCTTGAGCATCTCGCTTTTGGACATGACCATCAGCGTGCCGCTTTTGTAGTCGGGGAAGCGACAAAAGCTGAATTCGACTGGCTCGCCAGTGACGCAGCAGGTGTCTTCGAGTTCTAGCTCGATCTGCGTGCCGGGGTCAAACGAAAATTCAGCGTTGTCGTCGTCGCTGTTGGATGGATTTTTTTCGGCCTTGCCATGCTATTCTCCTCGTGGAATGAACTTAGAAAATAAGAAAATGTCGCCGCTGAGCAAGTTCAGTACGGCAGATCGGCAAAGCGCGATAGCACATCCGGCCCGTCGTTGGTGACGGCCACGGTGTGCTCGTATTGAGCCGAGAGCTTGCCGTCGGCTGTGACGGCCGTCCAGTCGTCGTCGAGCACGCGCGTTTCGTGTTCGCCCTCGTTGACCATCGGCTCGATGGTGAAGACCATGCCGTTTTGCAGGCGGCGGCCCGTGCCGGCCTTGCCGTAGTGGAGCAACTGGGGTTCCTCGTGGAAGTTGCGGCCAATGCCGTGGCCGCAGTACGCGCGCACGATGGAAAAGCCGCGCGCTTCGACATAGCTTTGGATGGCGTGGCCAATGTCGCCGAGGCGTTGCCCGGGCGTGCAGGCGGCCAACCCTTCCTCCAAGCTCTGGCGCGTGGCGTCGAGCAGGCGTTGGGCTTTGGGGGGCACGCAGCCGGCTTTCATAGTGACGTTCATGTCGCCGTGAAAGCCATCCTTTTTAACGGCAATGTCAACGGCGAGGATGTCCCCTTCTTGCAGGACGCGGTCGCCGGGGATGCCGTGGACGACTTCGTCGTTGACGGAGACGCAGATGCTGCGGGGAAAGCCGCGGTAGCCCAAGGCACTGGCAACCGCCCCTTGGCTGCGGATGTAGCGGTCGGCTATTTGGTCGAGGTGGAGGGTGGTAACCCCAGGCGCGAGGGCCTCTTCGACGCGGAGCATGGCTTCGGCGGCAATGCGGCAACTGGCGCGAATGCGGTCGATTTCCAAGGCTGATTTGAGATGTATCATAGAGATTAAAAATCGGGCATTGAGCGGAAAAATGTCAAGCTCTCATACCTATCAACCATGAAAATGTAACTAGCTAACGACCATGAAAGCGCCCCGCGTATCGATACTACTGCCCGTGTTCAACGCCGCCGCCACACTGGCAGAAACCTTGCAGAGCATCCAAGCGCAGAGCTGCGAAGATTTTGAGGTCGTGGCCATAGACGACGGCTCGGAGGACGAGAGCGGGGACCTGCTCTTGGAATGGAGCCGCTGCGATCCCCGCTTTAGAGCTTTGCTCGCCGACCACCAAGGCATTGTCGAGGCCCCTAACCAAGGCTTGGCCTTGTGTCGGGGCGAGTACGTGGCGCGCATGGACGCCGACGACCGGATGCACCCCGAACGCTTGGAAAAACAACTCGCGTGGTTGGAAGGAGATCTTGGCTTGAGCGTAGTGAGTTGCTTGGTGGAGATCTTTCCGCGCGAGGAGACCGGGGAGGGGATGTTGGTGTACGAGGCTTGGTTGAACGGCTTGGTGGATAGCGCGGCGATTGAACGGGAGTTTTTTGTCGAGAGTCCCATCGCCAATCCGTCGGCCATGATGCGCCGCGAGGAGTTGGTGGCCTTGGGGGGCTACCAAGATCGGGGATGGCCGGAAGACTACGATCTGTGGTTGCGCTATCGGGCGGCGGGCAAGCGCTTTGCCAAGGTGCCGGAGGTCTTGCACTACTGGCGCGAGCATCCGCGGCGGGCCACCCACGTGCAGGGTCGCTATTCGGTGGAGAATTTCCTCCGCGCCAAAGCGCATTATCTTTGCGCCGGGCCACTGCAAGAGCGGGATGGGCTAGCCGTTTGGGGCGCGGGCAAGACCGGTCGCCGGCTCGCCAAGCACCTGGAGCGCGAAGGTCGCGCGCCCGATGTATTTGTCGATATTGCGCCCAAGAAAATCGGCGGCACCTTGCGGCGTAAGCCCGTGATCGGGCCGGATGACTTACCGGCTTGGTGGACGCGCCACGAGCGGCCGATCCTCTTGGCGGCCGTGGCGTCGCGGGGGGCGCGGGCGCTGATTCGGGAGGCGTTGGATGGATGGGGGCTGCTAGAGGGGAATGATTTTTTATGTGTGGCTTAACAAAAACGAGAAAGGAAGCAATATGACGGTGCAATACGCGCTCAACACATCGACGATCCGCCCGGCGTCGCTGATGGAGAAAATCCGCATCGCCGGGCAGACCGGCTACCAGGGCATCGAGTTGTGGAACGATGACTTGACTGCGCACGAACAGCAGGGCGGTTCGCTGGCGGACGTGCGGCAGGCACTGGCCGACTACGGGTTGGCGGTGCCGACGGTTATTGCACTCCACGGCTGGCTGGGGGCTGAGGGCGCGGCGCGGGCGCAGGCGTTGGAGGAGGTGCGGCGGCGGATGGCGCAGGCCGTAGCGGTGGGGGCCGAGTTTATCGTTGCCAGCCCGCCGCTGGATTCCTGCGACCTGAGCCGGGGCGGGGCCGATTACCGCGAATTGCTGGAGATCGGCAAAGAAATTGGCGTGCGGCCGGCGATGGAGTACCTAGGCTTTGTGCAAAGCGTGTACACCATTGACCAAGCTTGGCAGATTGCCACCGACGCCGACCATCCAGATGCAAGTTTGATCATGGACCCGTTCCACATCTTACGTGGCGGCGGCCCTATTGCGAGCATTGCCAAGGTGCCCGGCGACAAGATCGCGGTCTGGCACTGGAACGATGCCCCCGGCGACAAGCCCTTTGCCGAACAAAGCGACGCCGACCGGGTGATGCCCGGCGATGGAGTCGGGCCGCTGCGCGAGATCGAGCGGCTGGCGCAAGCGCAGGGATACGAGGGGTTTGTGTCGCTGGAGTTGTTTAATCCGGGGCTATGGGAGGAGAATCCGGCGGATGTCGCCCGGATCGGTTTGGAGAAGATGCGGGCGTATTTCGCTGGCTAACCGCAGCTCGCCCCCGCTCTATAGCCCTAAAATATCGCGCGTTTTTTGCGGCAGCGCCCGCCAGTTGGCGATCAGATAGCGGTTGCCATCGACATCCTCGATGATGGCCCGGCCGCCGGAGAGCATGCGCACATTGGTGCGATAGCTGGGGATTTCGAGTTGGCGGGGGCCGCTGGTGGTTTCGATTTTTCCGCGCAGCACCCCGAATTCCTCGTCGAGTTCGTTAAAGGCAAGGACCTGCGGTTGGAAGTAGATCTTGTCGAGTTGGGCTAGGAGCGCTTGGCGGCTTTGGTCGTCTAGCTGCTGTGGGTCTTCGATTATGCCAAGCTCTTGGTCTTCGGCGGTAAAGACGCCAATGTAGCGGTCGGCCTCCTGTAGCGGGAAGGCGCGGCGGATCTTGAGGTTGGTGTATTTCTTGCCATCGAGCCAGATGATCAAGCTGCCGCGCTCGGAGCGACTGAAGCGCACCTTTTGTGGGTCGAGTAGAAAGTCCTCGTAAAGAATAGCCGCGTGCCTCGCTCATAGTGCCCGCACTTTCGCCATTTCGGTTTGCATATCGACCAGCCGGCGATAAACGCCGTCCTCTTTATTGAGCAACTCTTCGTGGGTGCCGACCTCGGCAACGCGCCCTCTTTCCAACACCAGCAGTCGGTCGGCGTTTTTGAGCGTCGAGAGCCGGTGGGCGATGGCAAAGGTGGTGCGACCGGTGACTAGCCGCTCGAGTGCCTCTTGAATCTCGAATTCGGTTTGGGTATCGACCGAGGCGGTGGCCTCGTCGAGGATCAGGATGCGCGGGTTGCCAATCAGGGCGCGGGCAATGGAGATGCGCTGGCGCTCGCCGCCGGAGAGCCGACCGCCGCGCTCGCCGACTTGGGTGTCGTAGCCATCGGGAAAATTCATGATGAACTTGTGGGCGTTGGCCGCGCGGGCCGCCTCAATGACCTCTTGGCTCGTCGCGTCGGGATGCCCATAGGCGATATTGCTGGCGATGGATCCTTGGAACAGCAGCGGCTCTTGCAAGACTACGCCGATTTGGCTGCGCAGCGCCTGCTGTTTGAGGCGGGTAATGGGCTGCCCGTCGATGCGGACTTGGCCGTCAGTGGCGTCGTAGAACCGCGAAATGAGGTTGACCAGAGTTGACTTGCCCGCGCCGCTGGGGCCAACAATGCCGATCATCTCGCCGGGCTCGGCCTTAAAGTGGATGCGGTCGAGGATCCTAGCCGAGCCGTCGTACGTGAAGCTGACGTTGCTGAACTCTACTTCGCCGGTAAGCGGGCCGGGGTCAATGGCGTCGGGGTCGTCCTGGACTTCGGGCTCGGTGTCGATGATCTCAAAGACGCGCTCGGCCGTTGTCGCTGCGGTCTCTAGCTGCTCGGTGAGGGTGCACAGCGAGCGCACCGGCGCGTAGAACATGACCATGTAGGAGATAAAAGCCTGCAACTCGCCCAAGGTCAGCTCATTGCCGAGCACTCGATTGCCGCCAAACCACCACAGGATGATCGAGCCGACTGAGGCGGTAAAGGAGATCGTCGGAATGTAATAGGACCGCATCTTGAACGAGGTCATCTGCGATTCGCGCACTTCGATATTGCGCTCGGTGAAGCGCTCGACCTCGCGGTTTTCTTGGGCAAAGGCCTTGACGACCTTGACGCCGGGGATGGAGTCGGCGAGCATGGAGTTGAGTTCGGCGATGCGACGCCATATCCGGTGGAAAACCCAGTGGATGCGGTTGCGGTAGATAATGGTGCCGATGATCATGAAGGGGATTGGGATCAGCGATAAAAGCGCCAATTCCCAATTCATTACAAATAGCATCGTGCAGATGCCGATGATGGTCAGCCCGTTGATGACAATGTTTTGGAACCCCGAGGTGATAAAACTGCGCATGCGCTCGGTGTCGCTGGTGACGCGGGTCATAATTCGACCGGTGCTGAGCGTGTTGTAAAACGTCAGCGACAGCAATTGCAAATGTTGGAAAATTTGCCTCTGCAAATCGTAAAGGATGTGCTGGCCGATCCACCCTAGGGCGTACATCCGCACGCCGCTGATGATGCCGCGGCCGATATAGATACCGAGCAGGCCGAGCACGACCCACAGCAGGAGTTGGACGCCCGCGGCCGAGGGCGTGGTCGCTTCGCCCTCGGCGATGTCCGCGATCTCGTATTGGACGAGGACCGGGGTGATGACATCGTCGATGAGGATGCGATTGAGCTGGGGCGGCAGCAGGCCGATGGCCGTCAGCACAATCGTCAGCGCGAACCCGAGCAATGCCTGGCTTTTATAAGGCTTGATGTAGGAAAACAACCGCCAGAAGGTCTCGGTCTGACGCAGGCAGTTGGGGCAGACTTTGGAGCCGGAGCGGAGGGCGCGGCCGCAGGTGGGGCAGTGTTCTACTACTTGGACCGGATCGACATGTAGCGGCTCGTCCTCTTCTGCGTCTTCTTCCTCGACTAGGCCGGCGCCCTCAATGGCTTGGGGCACTCCGGAGAATTTGTAATACGCACTCTGCGAAAAGCGCAGCAGCTCGACGGTCTCATCCTCCAGTTCGACGACGAGCGCACCACTGCCCACGTAGTTGCGGGTCTGGATGCCTTGCACTTCGTCCAAGCCGAGGCGCACGGTCTCGGGCGTATCTGCGCCATTGGGGTGAAAGACGAGTATCCGCTCGTCGGTGAGCGCAAACCAAGAGTCGCCGTATTGTCCGTCGGGGCGAATGTCGGCGGCGAGGAGGACGATGAGCAGCTCGCCGGGTTGCAATTCGCCGCGGATGTGGGGCAATAGACGTTCGGGTATAGGTTCGACTAGATCCAAAACGGCCCTATATCTTACGTTTAAACAGCGATTTGTATTGGGGAGGAGTGAGGCTCCGAGGAGGGGCGGTAGGTTATGTGGGTCTCACTACGTAAAAGTTAAGGGTTTTTATCAAAAGGGCAAACACGGTGCGGCCGAAGTGAATGATGAGTTTGCCCGATGGTCGTTTAATGGTTGTATTGAAAGCAAACAAAAAGAGGAAGGTTATGGCTATTAGCCGAGAGGAACTAAAAGGGCGGTTGGCCGCCTTGCCGCGATTGCAGCTAGCGTCCTTGCCCACGCCCTTGGAGGAATTAAAGCGCCTCAGCGCCCACCTAGCCGGCCCGCAGATTTGGGTCAAGCGCGACGATTTGACCGGCTTGGCTTTTGGCGGTAACAAGATCCGCGAGTTTGAATACCAAATCGCCCAAGCCGTAGAGCAGGGCTGCGACGTGCTGGTACACTCGGCCGCCGCCCAGTCGAATCAATCGCGGCAGACGGCCGCAGTGGCCGCAAAATTGGGGCTATCTGCGGTGGTCGTCGGCCGCGACGATGCCCACGCCCAGACGCAGGGGAACCTGCTGCTGACCCACCTCTTTGGCGCGGAGGTGGACCTGCCAGCACCCGAGGAGCAGGCGCAGGCCGTGGCTGCGAAGATGGCCGCGCTGACCGCGGCTGGCCATCGCCCCTTCCACACCAGTTCGGACGCGCGCATCTTCCGTAGTGTAGCGTACGTCGATGGGGCGTTAGAACTCTTGGCTCAATGCGAAGAACAGGGCGTTGCGCCAGCGGCGATCTATCTGTGTTCGGGGGCGCATACCCACGTGGGATTGGTGGTGGCGTTCAAGGCGCTGGGCATCGATATGCGGGTGGTGGGCATCAGTCCCTCGCCGCGCGACGATCGCGAAGCCGCCGAGGGGCACCTCGCCTTAGCGCGTGAGTGCGCTGCGGTCCTGGGCTTGGACCTAGCGCTGCAGGCGGAGGATTTCGAGAGTTACGCCGCGTTTGTCGGCCCGGACTACGGCGTGGTTACTCCAGAGAGCTGCGAAGCCTTGCACTTGGTGGCGCAGCAGGAAGGACTGTTGCTCGATCCGTCCTACACCAGCAAAGCCATGGCCGGTCTTTTGGCGCACGTGCGCGCCGGTTGGTGGCGTCCCGATCAGCGCCTTATCTTTCTCCATACCGGCGGCACGCCCGCGCTTTTTGCCTACGCCAAAGACCTCGGCTACTAATTAATGCAGCTTCCCATACCTGACCCTACCCGCTTCAAGCGGCGCAAAGCCCTCATCAGCCTCCTGCGCAAGCACTTGCGCGCCGATCAGATCATTCACCGCCGCGAGGACCTAGTCGCCTATGAATGCGACGGCCTATCGGCGTATCGCCAGCGGCCCATGCTGGTCGCCTTACCGGATAGCACCGAACAGGTCGCGGCCGTACTCCGGTCGTGCTCCCATCTCGACATTCCCATCGTCCCTTGGGGCGCTGGCACCGGACTTTCGGGGGGTGCGCTGCCGAGGGAAGATGGAGTAGTGTTGAGCACGGCGCGGATGCGAGCGGTGCTTGACATCGACTTGGAAAACCGCACGGTGACCGTGCAGCCGGGCGTGACCAACCGAAGCGTGACCGAGGCGGTGGAGCGGAGCGGCTTCTACTACGCGCCCGACCCTTCGAGCCAGATCGCCTGCTCGATCGGCGGCAATATCGCCGAAAATTCAGGCGGGGTACACTGCCTCAAGTACGGCACGACGACCAACAACCTCCTCGGCTTGGAGGTGGTGTTGGCCGACGGAGAGATCGTGCGGGTCGGCGGCAAGGGCATGGACCAAGCGGGCTACGACTTGCTCGGGCTGCTGACGGGTTCGGAAGGGCTGTTGGCCATTACCACGGAAGCCACGCTGCGCATCTTGCCCAAGCCAGAAGTGGCGCAGGCCGTGATGGCGGTGTACGATTCGGTCGCCGCGGCCGGACAGGCCGTGGCCGAGATCATTGCCGCGGGCATGGTGCCAGCCGGCATGGAAATCATGGATCAGTTGTCGGTGGAAGCGGTTGAGGGCTTTGTCGGCGCGGGCTATCCGCTCGGGGTCGCGGCGCTTTTGCTGATCGAATTGGACGGGCCGCAAAGCGAGGTCGAGTGCCACAGCCGCGCGTTGGAATCGCTGTTGCGGCAGACCGGCGCGACCGCGCTTTCCCACGCGACCACCGAGGCCGAGCGGCAAAAGCTGTGGGCCGGCCGCAAAGCGGCTTTTCCGGCGATGGGCCGGATTAGTCCCGACTACTACTGCATGGACGGGACCATCCCTCGGGGTGCGCTGCCGCAGGTGCTACAGAGAATTGGGGAGCTGTCGGCCGCGTATGGCCTGCGGGTGGCCAACGTGTTCCACGCGGGCGATGGCAACCTGCATCCACTCGTGCTGTACGACAGCAATGTCGAGGGCGATCTGGAGAAGGCCGAGTCGCTGGGGGCCGATATTTTGAAGCTCTGTGTCGAGGTGGGGGGCGTGTTGAGCGGGGAACACGGGATTGGCATTGAGAAGCGGGATTTAATGCCGTGCATGTTCAAGGACGCGGATTTGGACGCCCAAGAGCGAGTCAAGGCCGAGTTTGACCCGCAGCAGGTATTGAATCCGGGCAAGGTGTTTCCCACCTTGCGGCGGTGCGCTGAGGCGGGGCCATGCACGTGCATGGCGGCGAGGAAAAGTTCCCGGAGTTGGAACGGTTTTAAGGCGGCGAGCGCGCCGCCAGTTGCAGACGCGAAATTACGTTGAGGAGACGACTTATGGCTACGGCCTTTGCCCTAGTGGGCGACCGCTATCACACGTCTGATTACATCCGCACGGCTTTGGGCCGCACCTTGGTCCAAGGCATAGGATTGTCCGTTGATTTTACCGACGAGCTCACCCTGCTCAACGCCCAACATCTGTCGAACTACCGGCTGCTGATCGTCTTCCGCGACGGCATGATTTGGCCCAATGGCTACGGTATAGAGGCTGCGTCCGTCAGCGAGCCGCCCGTCCAAGCCGAGGAATCCCGTCCCGTGCAGTGGATTACCGAGGACCAAGGCCGTGCCGTGCGGAGCTTTGTCGAGGCGGGCGGAGCGGCTCTTTTCTACCACAATTCCACGTACATCGCCCCGGGCAGTAGCGACTTCCGCCACGTGCTAGGCGCTGCTACGCAAGGGCACCCAGCGGTGCGTCCCTACCGAGTTCACATCACGCGCACAGACCACCCCATAACGCGCGGTGTGGAGGACTTTGTCGTCGAGGACGAACAGCACTTCATGCACTACGACAAGGACCCAGCCCATGTCTTGGCCGTCAGCGTCAACGACGACGGCCACGCTTGGCAGGACTTGGGTACCACGTGCGAGGCAGCGTGGGCGTACGATTATGGCGCGGGCCGAGTGTGCTATTTATCACCGGGGCACACCATCCCCGCGCTGTGGAACCCGGCCTACGAGAAGTTGCAGCAGAACGCCGTGCGCTGGCTGCTGCGCGACGCCTTGTAGAGGTGCTCGGCGGCTAGACCCCCCAAGGCGAAGTGATTAAGGGAAGGTACGTCGGTTTGGGGAAATCAATCGCTCGGTAGTGTCGGTTCCAGCGGGATGGCTTGTCCCGCTTCCAGCACCGCGCCGACCTCGCCGCGCAGCCGCTCTTTGAGCGTGGTGTAGCGCTGGGCGACCTTGTCGTTGGCAATGGCCAGCTTGAGGGCCTTGGGGGTGCCGACGATGACAACCATTTGCTTGGCGCGGGTAATCGCCGTGTAGAGCAGGTTGCGCTGGAGCATCACGTAGTGCTGCGTCGTTAGCGGCAGCACCACCACGGGAAATTCCGACCCCTGAGAGCGGTGGATGCTGATGGCGTAGGCGAGGGTGAGCTGGTCGAGATCGACTTGATCGTATTCCAAGGTGTAGTCAAAGCGCACGTAGAGCACCTGCTTTTCTGCGTCGAGCCGCTCGACCGTGCCGATGTCGCCGTTAAAAACGCCCTTGTCGTAGTTGTTTTTGACCTGCATGACCTTGTCGCCGACCCGGAACTCAGCCCCGCGATGGCGGTGCACTTGGCCGTGCGGGTTGAGGCGCTGTTGCAGCCGCTGGTTGAGGTTGAGCGCGCCGGTCTCGCCGCGGTACATGGGCGCAAGTACTTGGATGTCGGCGCGCCGATCCCACTCCCGATAGCTGGGCAGCCGCGTGGCGCACAACTCTTCCACCAGCTCGACTACCCGCTCTGGGTCGCCTTCTTGGATGAAGTAGAAATCCGCGTCCGCATGGTTCTCGACGATGGGCATCTCACCGCTGTTGATGCGGTGCGCGTTGCGGATGATGTGGCTTTTTTGGGCTTGGCGAAAAATCTGCGTCAGGCGCACCACCGGCACTTTTGCAGAGTCGATGATGTCGCGGAGCACGTTGCCCGGCCCCACCGAGGGCAACTGGTCGATGTCGCCGACTAGCACCAGCCGAGCGTGGTCGGGCAGGGCGCGCAGGAGCGCGTTCATCAGCACCACGTCGATCATCGAAGCCTCGTCGACGATCAGCGCGTCGAGTTCGAGGCGGTCGTCGTAGCCCTTTTTGAATTGCCGCTCACCCGGCTGAAATCCCAGCAGCCGATGAATGGTCTTGGCCTCGCGCCCGCTGGCCTCGCTCAGTCGCTTGGCGGCGCGGCCCGTAGGCGAACACAGCCCGACCTTGAGGCCTCCTTCCTCCAAGAGGTGCAAAATGCGCCGCGTGACCGTAGTCTTGCCGGTGCCCGGCCCGCCGGTTAGCACCAGCACCTTGCTGGTGGCGACCAGTTCCACGGCCTGTATTTGCGCCGGGGCCAATTCCAGCCCGTCCTCCGCTTCTGCGGGCACGGCCAACGCTTCGGCCGGCGCTCGCAAAAGCCGCTTTAGCGACGATGCCGCACCCACTTCGGCGCGGTGGAGTGGCGGCAGATAGTAGCGCAGGTCTTCGGTGACTGCGCCGTCGTTGGCACGCAGGGCCTCTAATGCCGGTGGCAACAGCTCGGCGTTGATGTCCAAAATTTCGACGGCCCGCTCCATCATTTCGACGGCCGGCAGGTACACGTGGCCTTCGTCGGCCGCTTCGGTGAGCAGGTAGCGGATGCCGGCCTGCACGCGCTCGGGTGCGTCGTGGCCCAGGCCCAAGCGCTGGGCAATGCGATCGGCGATGCGGAAACCGATCCCATCCACATCGCGCTCTAGGCGATAGGGATCGTTGCGCACCTTTTGAATGGCCTCTTGGCCATAGGTCTTGAAGATTTTTACTGCGTAGCCGGTGGTGATTCCGTGCGACTGCAAAAAGACCATCACGTCCTTGATTTGCCGCTGCCCGTCCCAAGCCTCGGCAATCAACTCGACTCTCTTCTTGCCCAGCTTGGGCACTTCCGCTAGCCGGTGGGGATCCGCGTCGATGATGTCGAGCGTTTCCGCGCCAAAGTGCTCGACGATGCGCTTGGCCGACCTCGGCCCGACGCCTTTGATCAAACCGGACCCGAGGTACTTTTGCATCCCTTCGAGGGTCGAGGGATAAACGGCCTTATAGCGCTCCACCTTGAGCTGTTTGCCGTATTTGGGATGATTGGTCCACACGCCTTCGACTTCGATGCTCTCGCCCTCTTGGATGGAGGCAATAGCCCCCACGATGGCGATCCGTTCCCGCTGGCCCTCGACGACTAAGCGCGCAATGGTATAGCCGTTTTCCGGGTTGTGGTAGGTCAGGCGATCTATAAAGCCCTTATACGATTGGTTCATGTGCCGTGCTCACAACATGAAAGCATTGTACAGTAGTGCCGTACTCCCAGCGCCCAGCGCACCGCCCGCGCCGAGTTGCATGGGAGTATGCGCCCGCAAGTAAAGCCGCGCCCAGGCGACGGCCGGCCAACTTAGCAAAAAGGGCCACGCCGCACTGCCGACGCTGATCAACAATATGTAGGTCGCCCCTCCGACGCCAGCCGCGTGAATGCTGATCTTATAGGAGCGATTGATCCACCAGACCAAGAGCGTGTTGACGACACAGGACGCGGCCGTGATCAGCATCAGAGGCGGGGCACTGATCCCGTAGAGGGCCGCTCCCCCCAAAGCGTAGCAAAGAGCGCCCCACAAGAGCAGGGTAGCGCGCTTGTTGCGGTCGTCTGTATAGGCTTTATCGAGATAGCCCGAACGCACCAAGTGCCAGAGTAGTAAACCCCGGGATTACAGAAAAGGTGCCAATGGCCACTGCGCCGGCGAGCCAGTCGTCTAGCACGTGCGCTTGGACGCCGAAGACCAAGAGCGCTAACAGCGCGGGATTGAGCAAGTGGGAGAGGAAGCGTGCGACTCGGTGCGGGTGCAGACGAAAAAAGGGACGAGCTAATTGCTCGCCCCTCGTTACTTCTTTTGCCATTTTTTTCCGCTGGCCGTGCCGCGGTCGGGCGGCCTGTCTTCGCCTTCTAGCACAAAGCCGACAAAGCGCTTCTGGCCAAGAGTTTTCAAATATTGGAGCAGGGAGACCTCGGCCTCCTTGCGGTTGAGCTGGTACTTTTCGCTGAGCAATTCGATCATCTTACCGACCGAATTGCGGCCGTTGCACATCTGCCAGACCTCGCTGCCGACCTCGTCGAGGGTGATTTTGCGCTGCCTGGGTATGTAGAAAAACTTGGACAGCAGCCGCACCTTCCAGGTCTCTTGGCGCTTTATTGCGACCTGGACCTCGCCGTTGTCGTTGTTCTCCCAGCTCAGGGACTCATTGCGCGTTGGCCGCGACGCCAGCATGGCGGCCCGGCTCAGCTTGGGTCCCTTGTCTTTCGATAAAATGCCCATCTACTACCTTGGTCGACTAGCTCGTCTGCTGTGTCTTTCTTGCGGTAGAGGTGCTCGACGATGAATATCTTGTCGAGGCTGGCATCGCGCCAGACGCGCCCTCGCAGATACAGGCGCGGCCTCGGGTTCATAAAGGGCAGGGGACGGATCAACTGACGCCAGCGGCTGCGCGGCCGCCCCTCGACGCGAATGCCCTCGTGTTCCTGCACGGCCTCTGGAGCAATGTCCACCACGAAGTCGCGCAATTGCTTCTTAAAAAAAACCGGATACCAGTCTTGAATGCGCGCTTCTTTGAGCATGATTCGGGCCATGCTCAACCGATGCACCCGCAGAACCTGTTTACCGAGGGTGAACTCTAGCTGGATGTGGCCCGACTTGAGGGCATGGCTTTGTAGCTTGAGGTCGCTGGGCGCGAAAAACCGCAAGCCGTACACGCTCCACAGGTGGGCGGCCTCGCCTTCTTGGTCGACGAGCGAGCTGAACACGGCCTCGGCTTGCTCGGGCAGGGACTCGTCTAGCCTAGCCAGCACTCTCAGGAGCACTACCCGCCCGGACCCCAAGGCGAGCGCTAGGTTGTACGCGCGAAAGTCGGCTTCCCAAGTAAAGACCTCGTAGTCGCGGCCTTCGAGGAATTTCTTGTTTTTGAGGAATCGGGCGCGGCGCTGGACCTCAAAGGGGGCATCGACCTTTTGGGCCTTCTTTTGCAAGTTGGCCAAGTAGCGATCTACCAGCTCGGTCAGGCGCAGGGCCTCGCCGCGGCCTTTGAGACGCCGCCATTCGATCTCGGCGCGCACGATTTCGGCGTCGTCGAGGCGGGCATAGCCCTTTTCAAAATCCCCGTCAACTCGGCCGAGATTCCAGTCGTCAGGCACGGACACCGCAGCCCTTGCCAAGCAAAATCCACCCGATCGCTCATGCTAGAAGATCAGCACGGAGACCGATTTCTGGATCAGGGCGATCCCCACCGCCGCCA